GCCCGCCGCAGCTCGGCTGCGGCTGCTACGGCGGCTGTGGCTGCGCCGCTACTTCTTTGGGCCTTCTGCTGCTCCCCAAACAGTTCGGCTTCCTTTCTCTCGCTGCACTTTGCTGCAGCTGAAGCAAAAGGCTGCAGTGCCCCTCTCGGCGCTGCCAGCAGGTAACCAGCTAACCCAGCTAGCCACAGCTAGCCACAGCTAGCCACAGTTACCCCTAGCTAGCCACAGCTAGCCAGGCGCAGCTCTAGGTGGCCGTACTTACTCGTAGTTAGCGACGGCTAGCCACGCGTAGCACTAGCTGGCCACAGCTAGTTGCAGCCTGCCGCGCTAGCCATGGCTAGCTGCAGCTAGCCACAGCTAGCCACCCACACAGCCACGCAGCTGACTACTCAACTGGACCTTTAGCTAGCTCTACAGCCGTGCTCACAGCTAGCCACACACTGCGGCTGCAGCTAGCGACGCAGCTAGCTGCACACTACAGGCCACAGCTAGCTGGGGCTCTACGCAGCTGCTTCCGGGGAGGAGCCCTCGCTGCGCACGAAGCAGCAGCAGCAGCATGAGGAGCTGCACGAGCAGCAGCAGCGGAAGCAGCATTGGCGGGGTTTGCTTTGCTGCTGCTGCTGCTGCAGGCGCGACAGCAGCAGAGTCGTCGCGGGTGCTGTGGGGCCCCTACAGGGGGCCCCCCAGTGCCCTTTTAAATGCCCTTTTGGCTGCGCCGGCCACCACAGAGCCTCAGGCGCTGCCGTGGGCCAGTGTTGCTTTTTTGGTTCACGTCTGCAGCGTCGAAGTAAACCCTAAACCCTAAACCCTAAACCCTAAGCGGCACACCCTAAACACTTGCCCAGACCCTAAACCCTAGGCTTCCGCAGTGGCCACACGGCGCTGGTTGACAAACCCTAATTCAGAGCTCTGGCAGGCCTCAGGCATTTCGCTGTGCAGCGCGCAAACCCTAAACCCTAAACCCTCGCCAGCGCTATCCCTACAGGAAGCGCTGGGTTCTATGCTGCAGCTGTAGCTCAAACCCTAAACCCTAGCGCTACGCCTGCTAAACCCTTGTCTGAAGCTTACACCCTGATCTAAACCCTAAACCCTAGCTCAAGCCCTAAACCCCAGTCCACACGCGCAGCATAAACTCTAGGGGCCCCGCAAGCAGGCGAGTGAGTATAGAGACTCGTGCCTCTCCGTGCACGCGAAGCCAGGTGCTTGCAGCTGCTGCTGCTGCTCCTGTGCTGCTGCTGCTGCTGCTGCTGCTGCAGGCAGAGGGGGAAGAGACAGTGCTGCACCTCCGCGTCCCTGCAGGGACTGCAGAAGGCCTCGCCACGCCGCTGCTGCTGGTCCCCCACGACCTGCGCACCATGAAATGCTTCCTAGACGACTAGGCGGCAGCAGCAGCAGCAGCTGCTGCTGCTGCTGCTTCTGCTGC